ACTGACGAAACGTTTCCTCAATAAAGATAACCAAATGTTGCACAAGTGTCTTAATCTTCATTAATATAATTGAAAAGTGCCGCATTAGTGAAACGCTCTAAAGCGAGCGCCATATTTATGAGGTATGCCTGTAATAGTAATAATAATAATATAAAGTAAAACTAAAGTGGGTTTTCACACCGGCAAAAATATCCATAGTTTTCTTAGGATTCAGTTTGTAGACACCACAAGGAACATTTAAAAACCTTGATATCATTGGGTCTTTTTCAGTTATTTCTTAGTAGAAAGCTGAATAAGGCTGAGAGGCATTGACGATCATACTCAGATGACGGCCAGAGAATGTGGATACTAGGGTCACCTCTTCCCTGTTAGACCCATTACACCTTGCCCCTGGGTGGTGGTGCGTAAGTGTACGTGCACCTTGCCCCTGGGTGGTGGTGCGTAAGTGTACGTGCACCTTGCCCCTGGGTGGTGGTGCGTAAGTGTACGTACACCTTGCCCCTGGGTGGTGGTGCGTAAGTGTACGTACACCTTGCCCCTGGGTGGTGGTGCGTAAGTGTACGTGCACCTTGCCCCTGGGTGGTGGTGCGTAAGTGTACGTACACCTTGCCCCTGGGTGGTGGTGATGTATAAGCGTACACCATGTCCCTGGGTGATGATGTGTAAGAGTGTATACTCTGGTCAAGGAACGAGAGGGTGCCTTGAGGACGGTGAAGGACTTTTGATGCAAGGAATTTTATGTCTTCCCCTTTAGATCTATGCACTGTATGCCTCATGCTGATTTAGCGCTTTCCCATGATTATAAGAAACACAACATTGAATGCTTCAAGAAATCACATATTTTTTTTGTTTTGTTTAGGTTGAAAAATTTTATATTAAGGATCCAGCTGGTTTAAATGAATTCAGTGATGCCGATAATGGTGGCTGAGTAACAATTAAATTGTTGTCTTTGTATAATTACTTTGTTTTCTGAAGCTCTAAACCTATATGGGTCTTTCAGGCCATTGAGTGGTGGAGGCTCGATCCTTCATCCGCTAATAGCAAAACAAACACTTTCGGATTTTCCCAAACTAGGGCAGCAAGTTGGAAAGTGGGATATGAAGAGACGTAATATAGGACAAACCCCTTTTCGTAAATGACGTTTCGGTTGAGATTAAGTTCAGTTAATGTACGTATTCATATACCTGCCTATTATACATCTCTTGTCTACTACCAACGTATGAAGTGTATTTGTATCAAAAATAGTGTTACTTACGGCACTCCTTTAAATCGTCGACACTTGGAAGGGCTACTTACTTCATGAGGATTTCGCATGTATATTAGTAATAACTAATAATAGTAGTAATAGTAACTTTGGTACCCTTAAAGTTGTGTCAGCCACAGCCTAATACTTTGTGTTACCCTCGAGGCTGAACGTTTATTTATAATTAAAATTAAAAAGTCCAGTAAAATGTTAAGGATTGAGCACTTCAAATTAATGCTTCTTACGCTAAAAAAAATTAGTGGAAGCTTTGAAATTTCTTAAACTGCTATAATATATATATATATATATGTATATATATATATATATATATATATATATATATATATATATATATATAATATATATATATATATATATATATATATATATATATATATATATATAAACGTGTATCTATCCATTACCATTAATATGGAAATGGCTAAAACAACATTCATGGGACTGATTGGCTTGAGAATTCGCTCACTTGTACGGTACTCATATTTAAGTGGTCGAAGAGTTTGCTCTGTTCAAGATCTAATTGGTCCCAATGTTAACATTCTTCGATCATGCTGAGGTTAAAATGACGATGATGTTCATTTTACTGTCCTGTTGAGATTAATGTGGCACTCGTTTTAAATTTGTTCATTACTGTTGAGGCATAAATGGCCCCGATATTCGTGTTCACTTCTATCGAGATATAAGTGGAAATCATTTTATTCACAGTTCTTAGATTTAAGTAGTACCAGTGTTCATATGTTCAATACTTCTGTGACCTGATTGACTTGTCCTGATTGTTCATTAATAACATAACTCCATGATATAAACGCACAAGAAATATATATATATATATATATATATATATATATATATATATATATATATATATATATATATATATATAGATATAGATTTAGATATAGATAGAACAATCATCATTGTAGGAACATTTACGTCAGATTAATGTAGAATGTAAATCTGTTTATGTAGGCCTCAGATAAGGAAGTTAGGTCAGGTAAATATATTATAATTGTCATGATTTATTTAGTGTCGACACGTGTAGACTGCCTATACTAGTGTAGACAAGTTTATTCTAGCGTCGACACGTCTCTTCTAGTGTAGACAGGTCTATACAAGTGTCGACACGTCTCCTTTAGTCTAGGCAGCTCTACTCTAGTTTCGATACGTGTCTTCTAGTGTAGACAGATTTACTTTAGTGTCGACACTTGTTTCTTCTAGCGAAGACAGGTTAATGCAGTGTCGACACGTAGTCTACCGTCAACATCTGTTGAGTCAAAAACAGGTTGTCGAATATGCAGAGACCAAGATCGACTGGTCGAAATGTGTACAATAGACCTTGGTGAGGGGCTCTTGATCCAAGAAACTGGACTAATCCTCCCCTTAAATCTATTGCCTCCCTCCCCCTAAGGCGCTGTATGACCCCTACGGGTTTAGCGCTCCTCCCATGACTGTAGTAATGTCGATAATAGATAAGACGAGCGGGTCGATAGATAGACCTGTTTACACTGGTTGTGAACTGGTTGATAGATTCAACAGTGTACAATAGACAGGAAGAACATGTTAATTGATCTGTTTACTGTCTGTATGAAGAAATTGTGATTGTATAAAGTTTGGTGAATCAAATAGTGATTATACGTATTGTCGTTAGTGAAGCAGTGATTGTACTCTCAGCAGTGAATAAGGGACTGGTTGATGAATAGCGAATCTGATTGTTATCAGTTGTGAATCTGGGAGTGACTTGTGTTGTCAGTGAATCAGTGATTGTTTTCATTAGTAAATCAGTGATTGTTTTCATTAGTACATCGGTGATTGTTTTCATTAGTGAATCAGTGATTGTACTGTCATTAGTGAATCAATTATTGTACTGTCATTAATGAATCGGAAAGTGATTGTACTGTAATGAATCAGAAGGTGATTGTACTGTAAATGAATCAAAAAGTGATTGTACTGTAAATGAATCAGAAAGTGATTATACTGTTAATGAATCAGGAAGTGATTGTACTGTAAATGAATCAGAAAGGGATTGTACTTTAAATGAATCAGAAAGTGATTGTACTGTCGTTAATCAGAGTGATTTTACTATCATAAATAATGAATCAGCAAGTGTTTACTGAGTTTAGCGAGTCAGTTAACTGGACTGAGTTTAGCGAACAAGTGAGTGATTGTACTGAGTTTAATGAACCAGTGAGTGATTGTACTGAATTAAGTGAATCCATGATTGTATTGAGTTTAGAAAATTAGTGAGTGATTGTTCCTAGCTTAGTGAACCAGTGAGTGTACCGAGTTTAGTGAACTAATGAGTGATTGTACCGAGTTTAGTAAACCAGTGTGTGATTGTACTGAGTTTAGTGAACCAGTGAGTAATAGTACTGAGTTTAGTGATCCACTGAGTGATTGTACTGAATTTAGTGAACCAATGAGTGATTTTACCAGGTTTACTGAACCAGTGAGGGATTGTACTTGGTTTAGTGAACCAGTGAGCGGTTGTACAATCTAGTGAATCAATGATTGTACCGAGTCAAGTGAATCAGTGAGTGATTGTGCCGTCAAGTGAATCAGTGAGTGATTGTACCGAGTCAAGTGAATCAGTGAGCGATTGTACCGAGTCAAGTGAATCAGTGAGCGATTGTACCGAGTCAAGTGAATCAGTGAGTGATTGTACCGAGTTAAGTGAATCAGTGAGTGGTTGTACCGAGTCAAGTGAATCAGTAAGTGATTATACTGTCGTGAGTTTAGCGGTCCAATGTTATCATTTGTATAAAGTAGACTTTTAGACAAGCACTAAAAAGCCTATAAACTTCCTTGTACGACATTCTAGTCAGTTAAGGGACTGATTTTTAATCAAAATTCGACTGATCAAAGACCCCATTTCTTTGTCCATGTAAAAAGCACCGGATTTTTTAAGCCTATCATTTTGTGATTACAATAAATACAAATAATTTACAGGTAATATTTTTTTTTTATTTTCCTTCTGTACGACGTCTTTCCATAGCTATCACAGCCTAGTTGATCAGGACCCACCTGCTGCTTCCTGATGAGGATTTCTGCCTTTCAGTTATATTGCTTATGTTGACAATGGTATATTGTTCCAGACAACGTAGCTGAACTCGTCTCCAGGCTGAGGGACTGACCACCTCAAATACTTTTTCTCTAAGGTTGGTGCAGTGATTGTATTTATTTCACTACAACTGGTTCTTCTGTATTTGACTGAAGAAGTCTACTGTGGAGGCGAAACGTTTCAACAATGAAGATACCTAACTGGTGCGCATGCAGCTTAATCATTAACTTATATCGCTTATGCGCACTGGAGTTGATTTTATCATGGTTTAAGAGAGGTCAGTCATGAATGTTGACACACTTATATAATTGTGTATACAATAATAGTAGTAATGATAATAACAGACGTCTTAAATAGTATTTCATGTTGACTTATTTGCATTTTTTTTCTGAATAAGAAGTAGTATTCAGATCATGGTTAATTAGAATTACACAACATATAATATTTTAAGTCGCTGGAAATAGGCTAAACTATTATTGACTAGGAATTCATTCCAAGTCACTTATTTGGATTCGAACACATGGAGCAGATATTTGCGTAACATCGCTGTTGTAGTGCATTACGTAATTTTCACATAACCCATAGTTATTTCAATGTTTCATTGATTCATTTATAATCGTGTAAGTATTTTATGGCATAAACCTTTGGAATAAGTATAAAAAAGTGGATTGTGTGCAGCTCCAATTTTGCGTCCGAAGTCAGCGGCTTTGGCTTCAGGAACGTCATTCACGATGCTGGGGCACAAGCTACAGCCTCACAGGTGGTCAGTGCTGGGCCAGACGTCGTTGTGGGAGGATGCTTCATCTCTTTGAAATCTGAATCATTGTGCTACTAATATTCGTATCAGTTAAATACCTGCTATGTTATTTTGAGGGACCAGTTGTGGAAAACATACTATAACTAATAAACGTTCGCTGGTCGTACTGGCCACTAAAACAAGTGCAATGCATACTGACATTCTGGTAAGTGCTATTTTTTTTAATATTGCCTAACTAATTGTGGCTTAAATATATAACAGTCCAGAAATAAATTCAGCAATAGTAAATGACTGCTTAGTGTTTCTTGCCATTTGCACAAAAAATAGTCTACTAATGGCCAAGTTATTAATGCAAATTAATGTAATCAATGGCCGAAATGACCAGGATTCGTATGTTTTTAATATTTCGTTAGTATCTCATAAATAAAAATTCTCACAAGAAATACCTATTCCGTGTTGTACTCTATATAGGTGTAGAGTTTTGCTCAGAACAATCGGTAACTATGGCCCTCGGATCAAACTTGTCACCCATTCTCCAGGCGCTGTAGGGTTTAGCGCTTAGTTTTTATTATAATAATCCATACTATGACCCCTACGGATTTAGCGCTTCTCTGTTAATGTACTAGTTTAGTTAAACTAAATTTGGCATTGCTTTAGTCTGTCTGTCTGTCTTAAATAGCTACTAAGCTAACTTGACCAAAACTAATAGTTTAAAATAATTTTGAGAAGTTATAAGTGAATTCAGACGTAACTTTGGAGTTGACCTGGAATGGTAACTGAGGAGTTCATCTGTAGACCTCGGTAAAACCAAAAATTAAAAGATGCTGTATCTCCCAGGACTGAATCTAATTCCATAACTTAAATGGGTGGACGGGTCAGCTTCGGCCAGATGACCAAAAGCTCCAGCTGTAGGTTGTCATATGAATAAGATTCGCGTCAGGAAGCACTTGCTCAGTTTCCTGACAAACCTTACCTCGCTGGATATGTACACTAAGTGATGTTTCTCTAGGCATATATATGAGAATAATTTAATCCCTATTCTACGGGCTAAGTATTCCTGTCTGGTGGAGAAAATTTTACGTACGTCCTAGATGACCCAAGTGTACTAACCTGTTTTGTGGTTACAGGGGTCAATTCACAGTTTCTGGACCCTGGTCGATAGGCTTTGAACCCCAGTAACCATTTGGTAAACGAGGCCCTCAACCATGAATTGGACCGCAGTTCGAGGCGATAATATACGATCCCCTCTTGATCTGATGAATATGAGCTCCCCTCTCCTCAGATCAAACCTGATTTCCTTCAGTCCCCCAGGTGCTATATGACATCCCCACGGGTGTAGCGCTTCCCCATGAATATAATATTTATCTCAAAGTTGGTGTCTCAGTTTGCACTAGCCATTGTTCATTACACAACCAGCATTGCATTGACCTATGTAAGTGTGATCAGTTGACCTACATAACTTATATATAACTGAATTGTATTACATTTTTAAACTCTAAAAAAAAAAAAACTCGCTCTCTGGGTGTGGGTGGGTGTACTCGCTTATTTGTAATTGCAGGGGTCGATTCACAGCTCCTGGCCCCGCCTCCTCGCTGGTCGCTTCTATGTCCACACACTCCCTGTACCATGAGCTTTAGCTTTATCGTATCTTTTTAAAGCTATGTATGGATCCTGACTCCACTACATCACTCTCCAGATTGTACCATTCTCTGACAATTCTGTGACTGAAGAAATACTTCTAACATCCCTGTAACCCAGACGAGTCTTCAACTTGAAGTTGTGACCCTTGTTGCTGTGTCCCACCTCTTGAAACATTCTGACCCTATCCACCTGTCAATTCCTCTCAGTATTGTGTGTAGGCATAATTAAAAGCTGCAAAAATTATGAACTTTTCATCAGGAGAGGACCCTTGATGCTGGTCAGGGGCATTTTGTCCAAGAAATTTGACCCACCCTTTCCATTCCAGGATCGAACCTGAATGACTATAGTCCTCTTGAGTTTAGCGCTTTCCCCTGATTAAAATAAAAATTAAAAGTGTGAAGATACGGGACTGCATATTTTATTTTTATTTTGTATTTATGTATGATATTTGCGCGTGCAGCCAGCAGCAACAGCCTGGTTGATCAGGCGCTGATCCACCAGGAGGCCTGGTCACAGACCGGGCCGCGGGGGCGTTGACCCCCGAAACTCTCTCCAGGTAAACTCCAGGTAGTTACTATAGATTTTTCCAAGTCATCTAAACTGGAAGTTTCTATCAGTCTTCAATCATTATCAGGCGAGAGCTGAATCTAAGTCATACAGCGATTTGGCAAAGGGATTGTAACCAGGTTCGATCAAAGGAAGGAGTATAGTTCCAGTTCCTTTGATCAAATAAAAGTTCCGGTATCAAGGCACTCGCCATGAAGGAAATAACGAGGTGAAAGTCAGAAAATAAGATGAAGACAGTAAGAAACGGGACATAAAGGTTAGTCTCCATTTTTTTTTACACATTTGAATTTGTGTAAATATAAAATTATCGACAGTGTTCAGTGAAGAGAGACCCATCCGGGTTTAGCGGCTGTTTTTATAATGGGACTCAAGGACAGTGTCTCAGTCTCTTGTATTTTGTTACCTAACACATTACAGTTTTCTTTATTTTTCATTACAATCATTTGACAGCGTAGTGGAGAGGCGAGTATCTATGAAACTAAGAAGCGACTGAGATAAATGTGTATAAAGCGTGAGCAAGACAGCGTTTATCAATGGTTTCTTGAGAGAATTTTAGAAAACGATCTAATTATCTTCTGTATAGGCCAAGGTGATAATAAAGAGCTCTTGATTTGAGAAACTGGAACTGATTTAATTTCACCTTTTCCTGGCATCAACCCTAAATACCGAAATATGTTACCGCATTGTGTTGGCTTTTGTAATTTTATTTGGGGTTTGACTTTCATCGAATTAAGGATATAATTCGTAGAATACAGCTAATTGGTAATGTCAGGAGCATAATGATAATGTCAGCAACTTTTTATATATAAAGTGCTGAGTAACCAGTTTGTTCTAGTTATTATTAATAATAAGACTCGAATCAAACACTAACCATGCCTCCCCACTTCCAACTTTGATCTTGTCAAACGCTTCTGCGTTATTTCTCTCCTCTTCGTAAAACTCAACTCGGGTGTTCTTCACGCCAGTATTTCCTTAGATACCAGCTCTCTTTTCATCCTTGTTTCTCTTCTCTTTTTCTTCCGTGCTTCTTGCCTCCTACCTTACCGAATATTTTCTTCCTTGGCTCCTATTTTTTTTTTCCTGTAGTACATTTTCGTCGTTCAGGACATTAAACAAGTATGGCCACATCCCACGTATAAGATACAATTTTGATAGTTTCTATACAACTTTTCTCAGAAATTACCAATGAATGCTTTGTATTCCTTCTAATGTGTGTATTTTTTTTATCTTATTTCCATTAGTGTGTGTGTACATCCTATTCGTCTTTATGTAGATTCTAACTCTTCTTTCCTTGATAACTTCTAATCTCAAACTTTGTGTTACCATAGGCTCTTCTGTTCCCTGCACTTACTAAACATTTTTATCGAATAATGTAAAATTGTTACACTTGTTATAGATGTGTATCCCGTCTCTGGCTTCTCTATTAGATATTCTCACTTTGACATATTGACTATTATTTTCAACATCCCCCCTCTGTAAAACAAAGAAATTTTATTTAATATATATAAAGTGGTGATGTACAGGTGAAGTTTAATGACCCATGGTGTAATCGATAAGTTTTAAAACTAGTAAACCAACCAATAGTGTGCATTTTATTTTTTAACCACGTCGGCTGTCTCTCGCCAAGGTACGGTAATCCGAAACTGGTAAACACTTTGTCATTTAGTCAGTTTTACCATAAGCGTGTTGACAGTTTAGATGTCTCTCTCAACTGCAACATCTATACCCGTCCTTCAGGGTGCAGGGAATGCACTTCTCGCCTCCAGAACTCGTAATGTTACCGTGCTCACACTCCAATAGCACTTCAAATAAAAAACCTAACATGCGCGCACAAGCTTGTTGGATGTCCAAGCTCTTAGCACTCGCAACATATTTACTCTCCGCCCTCCGAACATTTCCAGGGACGAACTCCCCCCCCCCCCCTCCCCTCCACCCCTCAAATAGTTCATGTACAGTATGTTGATGAAGTAACCTAAATTTTTCACATTAATGACTATTCTAGTTCCTCATTTTCTATTTCTGATATAATTCGTACAACATGAATCGTGCCCATTTCCCTTTTAAATAAAAAAATCAGCCAGAAACAAATTAAATCAGCCTGTTCCCGTTTTTTTTTTTTAATTCCGCCCATTTATTGTTTGCCTCTAACCAATGTTTGGAAAATCTTACCTCCCTTTTGATTGTACTCAAATCTGTTCTTGGATTTTTTAGTCAACCTTGCTTTTTCAAGTAGGAGGTTGCCGTCATAAAAGGGTTCTTGATTAAGGACCGGGGACTCCTTTCCCCTTCCTTTGATTAAACCTAAATGCCTTAGGGGTTTTTAGCGCTCCCCCTGAATTTAAAATTCGATTCTATTCGATTCTTTGACCAGAGTTTTGGGTAAGATGGGTAAGGAAAGAAGGGGGGGTAAGGATAAAATTTAAAAAGGGGGGGGGGGGGTGTGGGGAAAAAATATAAAAGGTAAGGGGCCCACACTTTGGGCTTTTTTTAAAAGGTGTATGGGGAAATAATGAATTTTCTTAAAGGGGATTAAGTTTGCGGTTGTTGCCCCTTTATATGGGCGTTGATAACGTTGTTCGTCAATGATAATGTGTGGGGGTTTGGCGTGTTACACCGACACTTAAAAAAGGGCCCTGCAGATAGGATCGAATTAATAACAAAAGCATGTCTTGTTTCCCACGTTTCCCAAATTATACTTATAAAAGATGTTGTAATTTTTGTTGTTTAATTATTCACCCCCAGAGACAAAAAGGGGAAATTTTTTTTTTTTTTTAAAAAATGATTGCATTTACCCCTTT